CAGACAGAGTTAGAGACTTCCGTGTGCTCTGCATGGTACCAGTCACAGTGAGAAACAAAAGAATATAAGAAAGACAGCCAGTCCTTCAGAAGAGAACATGATGCTTGTGTGGGTCTAGCCAGAGGGAGAGGGCAAAATGTATGACATAAGCTATACAATTGTAGGAATTTGGAGAAGAACTTGGCTAGACTCATCGCAGTAGTTAAAGGACTTCTGGAAGGGATGAGTCTACTGTGCCTTTGTAGACTGTGTGATGGGGAAGGCCCTGAAAAATCACTTAAATAGCATTGCCCACCGTGAAGCAACACTCCTTAATCACTTGAGCAGTTTCTCCAATGCCACAGTTTGTTAGGAAACTGGAGGCTAGCAAGGTATCTAGCAAGTTGGCCTCTAGTGTCTTTGACATATGGGTGGTAACAAAGAAGTGTGTGTCATCCAAACAGCACGATGCTCTGCTCCTGAATGTGTATTTAGGAAACATCAGAAAGTGGACAAGATCACAAAATCCTCATGCCTTCGGAATTCATCTTGGAGCTAGCCATTATGGGAGGGCCTAGCAGAGAGGCCTGCCGCCCACTAAGTCTCCTTTGGAGTAAGCTGTGTCCGAAGCGTTTTGATTTGATAATGTGCCTCTTGATTCCCTGGGAGCTCTTTCCTGTGCCTGGTGATTGATACTGCAGGCTGGACTGGGAGAAGAGCTTAGTGATATCTCTTGAGTATTTGCATGCTGCTGTGTTCACCAATGAATTCCTCATCTATGTTGCCACAGACAGGTCCAGACAATGTATTTTAAGATAACCCCCCACCCCCATGGCCATCTTGACTTTGATGTTCCTGGCTATCATTTTAGCCTGCAGAATCATGGCACAGAGAAGTACTGTTGCTTTGTCAAACTCCCAGCTGTGGGGCACAACCTTTTTTGATCAGGGACTGGGTTCCTTGTAGGTGAACTTGAGGCATAAGGACAGGGTCCCTTGCCTTTGTTATACTGTTCTGCAAAACATGTAGCTTCTGGTTGTATCAGCTTTCTGGTTAACATCTTCTCTCTCCTTTTTCAACACCGGCGCCAATCCCAGGAACGTTCCCAGGTTTGGATCTCAGTGTGACAATAAGTGTCCCGTGTCTCATCTCTCCTTGCAACATGGTGTCCCTGGTATAGATTCCTTGTAATTGTCTCATGTGGCAATTCATGTCCGGTAGTGTCCATTCCTAAACCCAGTTCGATGTGTTTGTAGTGACCGGTTCTGATTCACGGGCCTAGGCCACCCTTCTTCCTGTTTACTAACTGTTTACTGACTCTCTGGTGTAGGAACATTCCCGGCCTGAGTATGAAACCAAGGTACGAGAGAAACTGTTAAAGGAGAGTGGCAAGACGACGGCGGTTCAGAAGCTGGAAGCGACTTCACCTGAGGAGGACGAGGTGAGAGGCGCTGCTCAGAGCCGTTTCTGCTCTTAGTGCCTGTTGTGCTATTTGGGAACCTTAGTGATGAAAAGAGTGACCTTGCACAGGATGGAATGAGTGCTTGCTATCTATAATCCTCCCGTAGACAGAGTCCCTGGGGAACAGGCTGTCATGGTAACCAGATCCACTGAGGTCCTTGTGGTACTGAGAGGACAAAATGGGAGCGCATGTCAGAAAAGAGAAAACCCATCTCGAGGCTGTCCTGTGGACAGCATTTCCTAAGTCCGCACTACACTACCCTACATCCTCCCTGGATCTTTGTTCCCCACCAGCCTAAGTGTGCTGTCTTTACATTTATTCTCATGAAAAGTCTACAGGGCTGGTAAATGATACGAAAAGGAGAGCTGATGAGTCTCACAGCCAATAAATGTGGCTATGCTGGGAGTTCTAACCTTTGCCTCAGCATTTAACCACCATGCCACACTGTTCCCTGAACGCACTGGGGAAATCAGAGGGTAAAGCCGAAAATGGTTCTTTAGGACCCACAGAAGCAAATGCATGCCTGCATTTGCTTGAGTTAGTTACGTGATGTTCGCACATTACATTCTTCTGGGTGGGCTACAGGAAGATTGCAATGCTAAGCATGTTCTCTTTCTAAACTTAAGGAAGTGCTGTGATTTGTAAATACACTTGGTGTATGAGTGTGTGTGTGTGTGTCCGGGGTGGGGGGAGTCCTCCTTGGCAGTACCTGTTTCTGAGTGCCACCCTGCTTTTAAATCAAGATCCTGTGTTTATATCGTTCCTAAATCTGATTTCTGGGGGGAAAAATCAACAAGAGTGAAAATCTGTTGTTTTTCAATGTGTCTTTTCTTCATTCTGGACATAAATTCAAATTTCATTATATTTTATAGTCTTTAAGTTGCAACCATTCATGTTAACATGCAAATTTATGCAAATACCAAAACAGAAGAATGTGGTGTTTTTGAGCCCAGAATACTAGCATTAAAAGAGAAAGAGAGAGAAAATAAGACTTAAATAGAAGGGGTAGGGGGTCTGTCGTTCCCTCTCCTTTATATTAAAAGAAAGCCCAACAACACCAATTATTTGGAGAAGAGTGAATTTGGTCTCAGAAGACAACTGTCGCTACCACCTTCATCACAAGGCATCTATTCCGTATTCTGTCAGCTTCCGAAACTCAGTGCACATTTCTTTCTCACCATAGAACAACATACAATAGATAATTTTATGGAAATCACATATAGCTTTTATTGAACCAATGGCTCCTTTAATTTTTAAAAACAATTTCTTATTATTTTAATTACAAATATGTGTGGATGTGTGTGTGCCTTCAGAGGCCAGGGATGTCTAATCCTCCGGGAGCTGGCATTATAGATGGTTGTGAATTGCCTGATGTGAGTGTTGGGAATCAAACTTGGTTCCTGTAGAAGAACAGGAAGTGCTCTTAACTGCGGAGCCATCTTTCCAGCCCTGACTCATTTAATTTTAATTCCATAGACGGGAATGCCAATAAGCTGGAATTGTGTACGGTGGGGCTGTGGTTCTAATATAAATATTGCTTGAATATATATGCATGATAGGTCAAATGACTTTCGGGAACTATGAATAATTAAGAAACATCTGAATGCATTATGAATGATGCATATGTTTACGTTGTAGCATTCAGCATTTCTTTTCACTACCCTGTTGAGAATGCAAAGTTCAAGGCGTCTAATGCCTTATGGGCAATGGGAGGAAATGAGTTTCCCAGTGCACAATGTGAGATACACATGGCCTGTGCTTGAGTGTCAGGCTCCTCCTCATGTTCTTTTAATTCTGGTAATATTGTAAATGCTTCTTCCTTTGCTATAAATCTAACCATTGATGGGTGTTAGTAATGGTGGACATGTTGCTACGTTGATATCAATGGAAAGGATGCTCTATTTTGTCTGGAGGAAAGAGTCGTTGTGGTCAGTCCTCACTGCAGAACATGCACTAGCGCATCTAGGAGTACGAGGTGCTATGACAGGCATCTGAGTAGCAGACTGGAGTTAAGAACCAAGGTCTAGCTGGGCTGGGATACCCTTCTCTTACCCCAGTGGTTCACCTGGATACCCACTTCACAGTTACCCTGAGACTCCATCTTTTGTCCATACCCACCTTCTTCTGGAATGCTAAAAACACTACTGTTTACTGAGGCTCAGATTGGCATGGGAAACTTTCCAAGATCACACAGCTATTTGTTGGGGAGCCATTGGTTCTGTCTAACTCAAAGGCCCACTGCTTTTTTTTCCTCTAATAATTTTGAACATATCATGTACATTTAAAGTTGAGATTTAACTCTCGTACTATAAAAAACTACCCTGGTTTGATCTTAGACCTACTGACACAGAGCATATGGGAGGTAGAGGCAGGAGGATTAGGAGTTGGAGGTCACCTTCCTCCAGTGTTTAGTGGGCTCCAGGTCAGCCTGAGCTGCAGGAGACCTAGCCTTTAAATACCAGAAAACAAATCATAGCCTAAAACTCACCCATACTGTTCAGTAGCTTTCAGTACCACCATAGATTTCTGCATCCGTTTCCCACAATATGTCTTCAAAGCAGTTTTATTGTTCCAACTAGAAATCCTGTACCCAGCTGGGGATTGAGCGCAGTGGAATGCTTGTCTAAAATGGACAAGTTCTAAGGTTCACTTTTCAGCACTGCAAAGCAAAGAAACACGAAACAAAACAAAACCTTGAATAAACTTAAAAAAAAAAATCCCTCTACCCAGTTGCCAAGCTGTGGAAAATAACTAACGTTTTTGTCAGCGTCTTGAGATTTGCTGTTCTGGAGTTTCCTGCAAATGGAATCACTTAACATGTGTTTAGCTTCTCACTTGGGAAAGTGACCCACATCATAGCTTATATCAGCATCTCATTTGCTTTTATTGCTAAATAGTGTCCTATGCTTGGCATTCGTCCAGTTTATTTCCATCCATTGGTTAATAGATGTTTGAGTGGTCTTCATTTTTCCAATTAATTATAAATAGTCATGCTCTGAACATTGGTGTCTGATTTTTATTTAGCTACACATTTATACTTTCATATGTGTGTGTATATATCTAAGACAGGATTACTGGGTAATGATGTTAAGTTTGTGTTTGATATTTTGAAGATGTTATTTCCCAAGGTGAATGCATTGTTTTATATATTCCAACCTGTGGTAAGTGGCTCTGACATTTCCACATCATACACTTACCATGTGTGCTTTAACTTTGTTCACCATACTGATAGGAAGTGGTACTTCACTTCTGTCTTAATTTGCATTTCCTTAATGAAGAATGATTCAGAATGTCTGCTTCTATGCGATTGGTCATTTCTGTGACTTCTTTAGAAAACCATCTGGTTAAATCCTCCCCCTATTTAATATTATGTTACTTGGGTTTTCTATAAAATTATGTGTTTTTTGCATATTCAGGATGGTAGTCCTATAACAGATAAGGTAGTTTATAAGTGTCTATGCTTTAGTTTATTAATTTTGCTATTGGAATCACAAGTTACCTATGTTGTCTTTTGTCAATTATACTTTTGTATCATTGTGTAAGAAATCATTGCCTAGTGCTCACTTCAGCAAGATACATTTTAAAATTGGAATGATATAGAGAAGATTAGCATGGCCTTTGTGCTAAGATGGTACACAGATTCATAAAATGTTCCAAATTTAAAAAAATATTGGCTAGTTCAATGTCATGAAGAATTTTAAACTTCTAACCTTTATACATGAACAGGTTTATGAACATTTGAGTTAATTTTTGCATGTGATATAGAGAATCCAAATGAATTTCTTGCACATGAATACTCTGTTGTCTATTAAAGGAATATTTTACTTATTTAGTTGTTTTGACATTCTCATAACAATTAACCTATTATAAAGGAAATGAATTTATATCTAGACAGTCAGATCTATTCCTCAGATCTATATGGTGTTGGATAAAAATAGGAAGAATGGAATTCTTTTTTCCTTGATCTTAGAAGAAATAAGTATCTTTCATCTATAAGTACATTGTTATCTATATATTCATTGATTAATAAAAACTATACATTTCACCAACAACAATGAACATCATATTATGACGGCTCTCATTTGAAATGACATGTCCATTTGTAATAAACTGTCCACTATATATATCCTTTTTGAGGAGGGCCAACATGGTGCGACCAAGAGGTTAGCACACTCCAAGTCAGAACCTGGACTGATGACCACACTGTCACCATGCGGTACAGCCCTTTAATTGGGTCTCCTTTGCCCCTTTTATCAAATTGGGCATTAGCGCCTCTGCCCTTCTGCGAGTTGGTGATTGTCTTTGCTCATGGTGCCATGATACAGTTTCTTATCAGCTCATCACCTTAAAAGTTAGATCACCCATTATGTAACTTTCATGGCATTAAAATTGGACGAGAGTTCATCCAAGGTCTTCTAATTCTAGCCTATACATCCTTTTCTTAAATATACTTTGTATTCTAATATCGTCTGAAACCAAAGCTCATTCTACATAAATCAGTAGAGAGGACCATAACACAAGGAACTAATTATAGAGGTGTTAGGAGAAGTGATGCTGAGGCAAATAGGGAACACTGAGGCAAGGAGAGATTAGCAAGAGTTGTAAGTGCCTACCACTTCCTGCTGGGAGGCCAAAAAGTGTGGTAGTAACCTCAGAACCTGGAGTCATGACCAACCAATGAGAACTAGAACCCTGCAGGGAGAGCAGCCCCTCTGAAGGCACAGTTTAAAGCAGATAGAGCATTGGGGAGAGATACCTCAAAACCCTCAAGGTTCTAGTTTCTGCTGAGACCTCCACTAGAACAATATAACCAAAAGTCAGTCAAGAGGTCATTCTGGGGCTTGTGGGTTTTAGAAAGCAATACCCTCCATCAGGGAACAGAGATGCATGCGGTGGGGTGAGGGAGCTGGGTATCACAGGAAGGGTGAATCTGAGAGCATATCTCAGAGTACTGATATGAAAGACCAGTCAGTATGTTGATCTGCCTGGGCGCCAAGGTAAAAGATTGCTAGAAACTAGAGAGTTAAATATTTGGTAAAAACACATGAATGCTCACCACTAACACTGTGAATGGATACATTAAAGAATCATTTATTCAGACCATTCCTACGCCATTGAACATTTAAGTATCTTGTGTAAGTGACACAGAGGGAGGAGAGAGTGAGTATGGGGAGGGGGGACTTTAAAGACAAAATCCTATTTGACTAGGTGCAGGAGTTACCTCCTAAAACTTGTCACCCAAATATTTACTCAGTGTGGATGCGAGACCCATCCCCCAGCCCTGTCTGGGACTACCTGTGTTGTCCTAGGCCATGAATATTTTATGAGGAACACTGAAACTAAGAGGACCTGGGCCAGGAGGAGGTACATGGATAGATGAGTGTTAATTTATTGTTCCATGTACCACCCTGGGGACAGTTATTTCTAAAGAAAGCTCATCAAAAGTTAAGGCATTGAAACATTTACGACATGTGCCTCTGGCAGCACCAACAAATAAACATGTGGAATAAATTATTCAAAAGTGTACAGCCTTCAACAAGGCTGGGACAACAGTACCCAGAAGCTGAATGACTGTTAGAGTGTGCAGTCAGAGGAGGCATGGGAAACAGGGTGGAGGGCCCTGTCTGACTCTCCTACTGTGGGCCAAGGTGGTATGCATCCAGATTTCCATGCAGGCTCTTGATTGTTGAATGTTCTACAGCTCAAAGTTCCCCTGAGCCCTGTTCTGAAAAGTTAATAACTATGTGAGGGTCAAAACAGAGTAAAACTTTGAGTTTCTTCTTGTGGATTAAGAAGGTTTCTCATTGGCCTCTGCACAATTGAACATTAGTGCTTAGAAGGAGACTCAGTTTGCCAAAGACTGTCAAAGAGAGAATGAAGCCTGTGGCTGGATCTGTCTGTGCGATCTTTTCCTTCCTGCCTGCACCTATTGTCTTTCCTCATCTTTCAGATCTGAGTAACTTGTGGACTTTCAGTATGGAGGGATTTCTGAACCGTAGCTCTCATCTTCCTGGCCTTACGCGCTGAAGGATGAGGGCCACTAGCCTGAAGGACATTTGACGTAGGATCAGTATCTATGTTTCTCAGACCTATCCCTCAGCTCAGGGGCTAAGCTCTCAAGTGTTATGACCCTAGGGCAATTATCCTTTTGAGATTCTTCATAGTTGGTTAGGAGAAGGCAACAGTGTTAATACCAGGCTGACATGGAGCTTACACAATAGAACTGTTACTAAAGGCTGCACCCTGGCGATTTTATATACCACTTACTGTTGTTTCTCATTTCTACTCATTTTTAAATGAATGATTTTGGCCCTGGCTCTTCTTTCTCACACTTTCTCATTCTGTGACTCTCCTCTGTCATCTCTCATGGAGTGCAGCTTCCACTTTGTACCTCTAGACCCATTCCCACGGAGAATTTCTAGCCAAAAGATATGGCTGCACAAAGACACAGAGTGATAGATGGAATAGAGGAACTGAATGAGGGTGGTCAGTCCTGTTTGATTATAAAATGTGTGTGTGTGCGTGTGCATACGTGCGTGCGTGCATGCGTGCATGTGTGTGTGTGTGTATGTATCTTTCCTGGATCTGAACTTAGAACGGAATTCTTCACCCCTTTTAGTCATTGGTGGGCTCCACATCAGGTAAGAAGAAGGCTGGGAGATGTAGTCTTTGGCAGGGAGTCTGCAAGCCACAGAGCCTAGCTATCAAAGAGTTATTCTCTTACTCAGTGTGAAATGGTAAGGGAAATAGAATGTGGGCCGGGTAGGTGATGAGATGGGTTTGGTTTTGAAAAGGGCAACACGTGATTCCGACTGACGGTCACCCCTTGAGATTTTCTGTGGTAGGAAATGAGAAAGAAAGGAATGATCTGGAAAAAGAACATGCTGGTATAAATCTGTGAGTGAGGAGAGGCATGCATCCATGGGGTCCCCACAGTTCCTGGCTGGCTCTTTCAGAAAGCACATCCCCTTCATGGAAGCTTGAGACTGATACTTTCTGAACAGAAAATTCAATTCCATTTTGATGTTGCTATAAGTAAAATATTATTTTTAGTAATAAATTTGTTCTTTGACATTTCATACGTGTTTATAATGCATTTCGGTTTACCTCCTCCCTTACCCCTGTCACCCCATCAGCCCCACTTCTTCCATACAAATCTCTTTCCTATATTTGTGTCTTTTGTTTTGTGTCCTACAGAGTTTAGTAGGGCCTTTGATGTGACCCTAGGTTTGAAACTACCTCTTAGAGCTTGGAGGAAACACCAGTGGTTACTTACATACATAGATACTGTGCCTCCCCATTTTCCAGAATCTGTAGTTGGCATAGTTCAGTAGTAAGTGGTAGTGCTCATGAGTGCCTTCCCATCCATAGTTGATTATTGGGTAGGTCCAGTTCATTCAGGCCCAGTGCCAGTGAACACCATTGTGTGTTTATGATTGCCATGGCAGTGCCATACTTGGAAGATGACATCTTACAATCCTCTCCCTGTCTTCTGGCTCTTACATTCTTTCTGCTCTGACCTATGCACTGGTGGTGAGGCTCGTAAGTTTAAGAATAGCCTTTCTTTGTGCATATACATACAGATATTTACAAGGCAATTTTTATTCTATGTCAGTTCATCCAAAGAGCCATAATTGATTCCCTCTCTGGTGGCTCAAACTTTGCAGTCAGGAGAATTTTATCAGGTTTATAGTAGTCAGCATGGGTTGCCTCTTGTAGAATGGTCCTTAGATAATTAGAGAGTCATTGGTTACCTCCACTATAGCCATGCCATTGATGCAGCAGTGGGCACATCTTGCCTGGAAAGTTGGTGTTTTCTTAGCTTTGGTTTTACTGCTGTGAACAGACGCCATGACCAATGCAACTCTTATAAGGACAACATTTAATTGGGGCTGGCTTGCAGGTTCTGAGGTTCAGTCCAGTATCATCAAGGCTGGAGCATGGCAGTATCTAGGCAGGCATGGTGCAGGAGGAGCTCAGAGTGCTACATCTTCATCTGAAGGCCACTAGGAGAAGATTGACACCCATGTGGTTAGGAGGAGGGTTTCATTGCCCACACCCACAGTGACACACTTTCTCTAACAAGGCTACACTCACTCCAACAAGGCCACACCTCCTAATAGTGCCACTGCCTGGGCCAAGCATATTCAAACCACCACAGTATTGTAGTTCTGAATGTTCACAGCTGGGTAAGCAATCTGGTCCCTTACTCTCCCAGCAGTCTGAATAGTGCAGGCACTCTACAGGCTAGGCAGCAGTGCACAGTTCTCAGCTTAGTTTCAGCTTGATTTCTCTGTATCTTGCATCCATGGTGTGTGGTGGTTTCAGTAATAAGGTCATATTGTAAGGACCCACGAAGAGGACCCCCAACTCAAGTCCCGATCAGTGTGCACCCAAGGAGACACGAGAGACTGACTTGATGCAAATGGCAAAAGGCAGTTTACTAACGAGGGCCCTCGGATTGAAACTCATCCCATGCAGGGGAGAGAATCGACCAAGATCCCAGAAAGTTTGGGGCTTTTGTAGGGAACAGTGTAAGGGGGGAAGGGGAAAGCGGGAAATTCTGGCGCGGTTGCATATAATTGGATATTTCAAACATCAGCACTTTGCGTAAGCAATCATTTTGACAGGTTGGATGGCCCACTATTTTTGACCATGAAACC